AAAAATTGTTTAAAAATATTAAAATAGTATCTAGGGAGAAGTGATCAGTAAAAGTGTGAGGGTGTAAGATAGAGGTTAAACGCTTCTTAAGAGATCATATACTCAAATTTGGAATTGTAGCAAAGCTCTTTTAAAGTTAATTCATTTGATTATCCCCGTTTAATTTTCTGAAATAATGGTGAGGCTGTACAGATGCTAACAGCCATTTTACGTTATTCCACAGTTGTAGGTTTTGATGTTTCAAATAAGGATGAGCCACGCCAGAGCATGCAGAGGGGAAATTAGGGGCGTGGCTCGAGAGTCCATGCTTTGGGGTGCCGGTGAGCAGCCGTAATGACAGTGCAGGACAGAGACTCTGGAAGGTGGCCAAGAGAGACACAGGAGACCCAGCGCCAGTGCTGGAGACTGGGACCCACAGGTTAGAGGAAGCACATTCAGAAACGTTAAGTGATCAATGTGCAGCCTGCACTGTGCCCTGGGCAGGGCAAGGCAAAACTAGCAGGGGAGTATGAGGGGTACTGAGGCGTGGCTCCTGCCATCAGCCTCTCTTTGCCTTCTATCAATAAAACAAAGCAAGATGTCTTCTGCTAATTGCACAGGCAACCCCCAGGCTACAGGTTTTGGGTCTTCTTCACGACCACCTGCCCCTAATTACCCTTCCCCTGCCCACACTCTGCTGGTTAAGGGGACTTGACTTCACTTGACTTGAGGCCAGGAGTTCAAGACCAGCCTGGGCAACATAGTGAGACCCTGTCTCTACAAAAAACAAAAAAAATTTAGCCAGGTATCGTGGTGTGCGTTTATAGTCCCAACTACTCAGGAAGCTGAAGTGGGAGGATCGCTCGAGCCCAGGAGTTCAAGGCTATAGTGAGCTATGATGTGCCACCTGCCTGGGTGACAGAGTGAGACCCCACCTCTAAAAATATTAATAAAATAAAAATAAAGAATGGTGGGCACAGGGCTGGTGGGGTGAAATCGTGTCTCAAAACACTGACTCGAAACACTGATTAACCAAACTGTGTCAGTAGCAACTGGCTTATCAAGATAAACCCCTTTCTTTCAGGTCAATGGGCCACTTGGAGAAATCTCATGAAACCTAACATGTCCCACTCCCTTATTCCCTAAAACTCATCTTCACAA